TCCCTCAAAACATTATTGACATTGCAGTTTTGTTGTATGGGAACGCAATTTTTAGGAGACCAGGCCATCCAATCTTGTGACTGGATTTGTGTCACATTGTTGAACAGTCACCTGGATTTCAGGTTGTGTGATTTAAGGCTATGCAGACCGTGTGCAGCATACGTACTAGTATGTGATTGTCTCATTACGTTATGAGCCCTCCCGTAGTTCAGCTCTTTGATTCGAGCAGCACAGTGCTATGTGGAGTGTGGTACTTGTAGGTGGTTTTCCCTGTCGCTTTTTTTTTCTTTTGTAGACAACCAGCTATTAGTAGATGTAAAGTTTAGCCATTTGCTGTAGTGAAGTACTGGTCTTTGTCTAGATGATTGCCAGTCGAGAGATGTGTTTATAGTGCATCATCTCAACTGTTTACTGTTCCCTTTCTCTTTTTCCCAATGGTTTCCCCTAACTGCTTATCTCTACAGGCTGACAGGAGTAAGAGTATAAATTGTGTTTAACCTGATACAGCAGCTTGTATCTGGCTGCGTAGATAAAAACATTGAAGACGGGAATACATAAAACTAACTTGTCTCATGATCTGTGGTGAAAATACCGGTCTTAATATTCTATGTGTCTGAAGATATTGTCAGTCTATGGGTCTGCACAGCAGTGGAGACAGAAATGCTTCCATGTTAAATATTTTTGATGTAGCCCACCATAGAAAACCAACTGTCGATGAATGCACTTCTATTGCACACTGATCAAACTAATCTGTAGTCACCAACAACACTTTTGGTCCTGCTTGCAACGGCTCAGCTCTGTGATAGGCATGAATCAGGCTGCTAACAAGCAGGCATTATATGATTAGTCATGATGATGATGATGAATGGATCCTGAAAGGTGATATTATGCTAAAAAAGAACTGCAAAGCCTTTACAGTGTGTCTGTATTTCATCAAGAAGTGCACTTCAGGAAGCACGGTGACACTTGAACCAGATCATGGTCTGATTATAATAACTTGCCCACTGAATGCCAGTAATGTCAGCGGTGCTCAACAAAGCAATCCTCAACTCAAGGTCCAGAAAGCTCAAAAATGCTGTGTTGTATTCACCACAAATTTGTATTACTGTTTATCAGTCATTAGTAAATATGTTTCTCATAGATAGTCCAGACTAAATAATGGAAGCAAGGCCATTCTACTTTGTGCTTTTGTGAGCAGCTTCAAAATCTGCACAGTACAAGCAATTTCACAAAAAAGTAATGTCTAACTGCACAACGTATCCAATATGATCTTCTTTGTAGATTCATGGTAAGCAACTTACCACCAGGGCCCCCTCGGCCACCGGAGCACCCTGAATGTCAACATTTTTTCTTTAGTTGACATGGACTGCTTGAATGCACCATCAGTTTTAATTTCTGGAGGAGGCGCAGGTTGACCTTCATGTGTCAAATCCGGCTGTAGGATCCAGCTCCCGGATTGGGAGACAATTAATCATGAATTGTATTCTGGGTGCAGTGGCCAATTTGAGATATTGTTGCCTCAGCTTGTCAGGCTCAGCTCTACTTTGATCAGTTTAATTGTCCTTTTCAATGACAGAATTAAAAAAGTACAGTAGGCCCTGCTCAGGAGCTCAAACTTAATGCAAGAACTTTCAGGGAATGCCGGCAGGTCTATCAACCTTGATTGGTCAAGCAGATGGGTTTTCACATCACAGCAAGAATGACAGCAGTAAACACAATAGTCACCATGTTATTGCAGCATCTGTATTGACTAGGGCAAAAGAGAAGAACAATGGAGAATGTTTGTTGGACGAATGAAGGTGACCAGACCCTCAATTGTAATCAGGGATAGAGATTAGAGAGGCCATACAGAAGAGCTGGAGTCAGCAATTAGAAAAGAAAAGGTGTACCAGACATTCTTTTCAGAGTCTGGCAGAAGCATGGATACATCATATCGCCACGATAAATAGGGGATTTGAAGAAAAAAAAGAAGATACAGGATTATAGCAGAATTAAGGATCAAAATGCATGCCGCAGGGCAAACTGAAAAACACTTGTTAGACATGCCTTTTACAAAAGTTCCTGCAGTGGGAAAGGGCAACAATAGTTTCTATAGTCTACAACCAGCAGGTTGAAATGTTTTCCTCCAGAGTGAAATGTCTCAACAACTGTTTGGATTTCTTTCTTAGTTGATCAATAGTTGATCAAATACCTGGAAAACTAATTACATTCCCATCAGCCTCAGCTCTACTTAAAACAGGATGTTAAACATTATTGTTGAACACCAGCATGTTAACATTGTTAGTGTTGGCATTTAAGCATTTTGGTCACCGCAGTGTCTATACAACACCTTCCCAATCTCAACTCTTTTAACACAGGGGCAGTTGTCCTAAGCTTCAAACTATGACGCTCTAGGTACTCCTCTAGCATTTGTTTTGGATGTGTCAGTTTCTGCTCTTAACATGCATAGTGTGCTTTTGAAAAAAAGACGTACGTCTTTTACATCCCGGATCTATTAGAGTTAGATGAAAGCCGAGTGCATCTCATATAGATGCTAAGTGGGGCCTCCGTGCATCAGTATCAGACACCGAGGGCTTGACGAGCAGGGTGTGAGAACGGCTTGGTCTTTACAGCCTCACAGAGCTGCAGTCTTTCTCATATCTTGGTGTGTTATATTTATCAGATTTTTGGCCAGCTGACAAACGAAGGAGCTAGAAAATTCTCACATGCCCTATTTGTAATCACCATAAGGATTCTGATATGAACAGTTGTTCCTAGTCTGCATTCAATATTTACAGAAAATCCAGTGTGACATTAATGCAGCATAAACATCTTTTTATAGAGTCAGTAAGGCTGTACAGGTGTTGAAGAGGTGCTAACAGGAACACAAAATCCTCAACTACCCTTACTACTCTTGTGACAGCTTTGATTTAAATCCAGTACAAAAAGAAGCAGCACATATGAAGAATGAACTGGATTTGTTTTGTGCCGGCCAAGTGAAACATGAGCATTGCCAGTTTGCGTAACAGAGTGCCAGCTCGGCCCTACAAAGCAAAGAAGGGGCTCCTACACAAACGGGGGGGCACTGTGTGACACCAATCCAATGCCTTCCCTCACAAGTCCACTGTTATAATTCATTTAGTGGAGAATCAGAGTTTTATAATTAAAACCATTCATTGGAATTAATGAATAAATCCTGTTCAAAGGTCTGCCTGTTCACTTCTACCTCTGTTGTATCATTACATTATTATTCTTCATTAAACTCATCCCTGTTTACAGTGTGACCAATGTGTGCCTGTGTCATTGCAGTAAGGCAAGATCAATGCTGCCCTTTCAAAAATGTTCAAGGACACTCCCTCAGATCTTCAGTAAACAGCAGAAATGTTTCTGCCACATCTGCATCCCCTTGTTCTGTAGAGGAAGTCACTTCATGCCATAATGCTAATACAACAAAAAACATTCAATTATTTATAAAACATAAATGCTGATGCACCTAGAAAGCCTAAAATATTAATGACAAATCATGGCAGGTAGAAGGAAGATGTATATCTTCTGTTGGTTTGAACTAGGTGTCGCCCAAAGGGAAGAAAAAAATGTTACTGTGTTTTTAACAGCCAGATGTTTTTGAGGACCTGCCTCATGGCTCCTCTAAAATATTGATGTCTTTTTTTTTCTTGCCTGTTACCGTCTGCGGCACATTTTTTAATCTCAATCGATGTCCTGTCGGGATGCTTGCATTAGTTTTCTGGCAAAATACTCTATGTGAAAATGGTCAGATGTGACGATTAATGTCACTGAGAACAAAGAACGGAGCAGGACACCTGGCCTCATCGTTGTAGTTGGTAATGTGAACACCGCAGATCAACCTCGGTTGCACCGCATGATTAATAAGGCCAGTTGAGGTCGTTGGGTGTGCCCAGATGTCAGCTGCTCACGCTGAGAGCTTGTTCTGAATAAGGCATCCTCAGTGACCCTGTACATCCACAATACAACAGGTTCAACCGAGCAGGCAAGGCAATGAAAGGGATCTTCCGAGGAAAATAAAAACATGGTTTAACAATGAATTTGTCACAACTGCAATTATAGTGTTCCAACTGCAATTAAACTGTCTGTAAACCTGCAACTACACTGTTAAATGGTTGGGACAGCAATCGACATACTGTCAGAGTTTATTTCCTGGGGCGTTGTGCATTCGCTGATTTTCATGCTGATGCAGGGATAGTTTCTCAGTAGCCATTATGTCCACTGTATTGCTATGTGTGAGACAAAGTGTATTTATTGGTTTATTTGTATGCTTTTGAGAATTACGCATATGAGTTTAAGATTGCTGTGTGTACCTTGTCAACCCCGTCTCTGCATCTGATAGCAATGCACGGAGGTAGTCTTTAGTCTTGGTATTTGACGAGTTGTGATTGAGAATGTGGTGATCTTGTTCACCTGAATCTCCTGAACATGGGTCAATTACATTTATCAGGGCCTAGAGCTTTAATCTAAGTTCACACTGAATAATGCTGAAGGCTGGTGTATCTATATTTTCTTATTGTCAACAAATCCCTAGTTAGATCTAGTCCCCATCCTGTCTGTGGCACTCATCTTACAATAAGACAACTGTAGAATAATAGCAGTCTTGTATATTTTTGTTCATGCATCATTTGTTTGTATTCTGTTTCTGTGGTGTTGTATCTCTTCTGTTGTCTTCATCCAGCTGTTCATCACATGGTGTTTTTTGTTATTATCAGTTATTATTCACACTACAGGTCACCTTTCAATCAAACAGTGTTTGTTACAGTTTCTTTGTTTTTAGTTGATGAAGTTAATTTCCCAGCTCACCTTTTATTTCTTTATAAACAGACTAAAAGCAGCATCTCTTTCTCTTGTTTCTTTCAGTGTTTAGACCAACAATTATAAAAACTCTATTAAACAATCTGAGGGAATCTCTGAGAGAGTAGGACATGCAACCACGTCTGTGAAAATGTCAGGCTTTACAAGTGAGACTAATTACTTTTTCCTCTTCTTTGTAGAGCCTTGATAGAAATATTGTGGTACGCACCCACGCACGGGTGTCCTCGCTCACCTTGAAAAACGTCCTGTTCACATACGCCGGCCAGTATCTCTGCACCGCCAGCAACTCCATCGGACAAGACATCAAGCAATTGTACCTGGAAGTCCGCTGTAAGTCACCCAACTCTTCCTATACTTGCTCTAATTATTTATCACTGCTGTCAATACACATCACTCTTTGTTTGTAATATCCTACTTCATTTATGAATACGAGTATTAACAGCTGTTTTACATTTTGCATTTGTTTTTTGCTGTTTTCATTTTGACATTTCATCTCACCGTTGAAATATCTGTTGAAGAAAAACACAAATCTCTGTGGTTAATTATTGCCAGATGTTAGATAATATTTTTAACACAGCATCCCATCTCAACAAACGTCCTTAATACGTGCAGTAGAAAGAATAAAAGTGAGTGTTAAAATGACACATTCATTGATGCTGGGGCAAAAAGGAAGGCTTAAAGTGATTGAAGGGATAGTTCAGATTTTTTGAAGTGGGTTGTATGAGGTACCTTTTCGTTGTCAGTGTAGTAGATGACAAGAGTAACAGCACGGGAGCAGAGCAATGTACTGTTGTGGGCAGGTGCTTGGTAAAAGGAGTCATGTGGCTATAAAGAGAGCATAGATGGATGCCACATGATCAGTTTCCCATCAAAAAAGCGTTGTCTGACGGCCAAATGAAGTGTTGAAAATGTTTTAAATGCAACGTACAGTTCTACCCTACAGGTAATACACTGACTATAGATAACCCCACTTCAGGAAATTGGAATTGTCCCTTTGAGTCGGGATATAAAGGCTAAAAGGAAACTTTGTTACAGGCATTCATCTGTCTGTTGTTGGCATTGACCTGGAACTGCTGCCGCAGCTGCTCCTGTCTCCACGTTTCCCCAGGACAGTCTTCAAATGAAATGTCATGTAATTAGGAGTCAGTTAAAAATGTTAGTGACTGGTCGTCGATTGTAGAATCCCATGGTTTGACCGTGATATATCATCAGGCTATGTTGCTCAGTGCATTCCAGGAGTAATTGTGTTGTAATCGACGTTTTTTGGTGCCCAGACATTTTCTCAACATGTCTGTTTCTGCTCAGGTAGTGATTTCCTCTGTTTCCTAAAATGGCTTTTGACAGGACTCTGACAGCTTCTTCTGGGCTTTGTTCATTAGCTGTTGATTTTACCTGCAGGCAGAACAATCAATAACACAAGCTTTTCACAAACACAGACTAACAGACTAGACAAATATTCTCTAGTAAATAGTTCTGCAGCCCGATGGAGTAAAGTCAACACTTACTGCTTGGCTTTAACAGGTTAGATTAAAGTTGCTACTTTGCTCATTTGCCACATTTTACTGACTTGCCCGCAATTAAAACAATGTCGCAGGAAGTGAAGTTTCACCTGGTATAATTTTGGATAAAACAGTAAAGAAAGACACTACTATGACAGAGAATTGTCATATTACACGACTATTTTGTTGACAAAGAAAAAGGTCAAATTCTAAAGTCATTTATCGATTGCTTTACTTTCCTACGGTGCGGATCACTGTATCACACATATTGTCAGATAAAAACAGCATCAGCAAGTCTTTGGAAAACTATCATCTTGGCGAAAGGATTCTGCTGAAGTCAACACCTTAACGATTACAAGTTTTGACTTTATTTTTAACAAGCAACAAATTGGTGCCACCGGTAATTCCCAGGCGAAGTGAAGCGGCATAAAGTTACCGTACAGCACAAGACTGAGCATGCACTGTGTGTGTGTGAATGTAAAGGTGATGTAGTCTGTAGGGAGAGCTAAGTTATATCCTAAGTCTACCCTTATGTTGCAACCCATTTATAGTAAGTTGTTGCACAAATCACCACACTATGTTACACATAACTGCTACAACAGGCTGCTTGCCATCAGATGCACAAAGCTGACTTTGTTCATTTTTGGGGTGTTAAATTGAAACTGCCTTAAACTGTTAAACAACATACCTCGCAATAAACCCTGCAGTTTATATGAGCATTTTACAAAAGAACATAAAAGACATTGCAGTGGATGCAAGTAGATAAATATTCAAATCTGAAAATCAGAGGAGGACCAGGGGAAGTGCTCGTTAAGACCAGAGGATATGTCTAAGGATGCAGTGTCTGGCCAGCCACCTCTGCTTCTGGAGATAAGTGAGAGAGCAGAGTTTGCTGGGTGGGTCAGTGGTACCACTGCGATTGGTTACCATGGAAACAAGGGTCTCATTTCTGACATAGCCTCAAGGTACAGTTGGCTTTTGAGGCTTAGAAATCTGTGCAACAGTGTAATTACTATTTTCTTTGAGCATCCTAACTCTAGACTAAAATGCTCGCGCAACCATTTTGTCTTTGATTAGCAGTTATACGTATATTAGAGACCGGTGGGAGTTATAACGTGATTATGATGTGCTGGACTACAGAGACGGAACGAAACTGCTTTGAAACACGGAGATTGTATATCTTAAAATGAAGCTATCCTCGGGAGAACCCAACATACTTCACCATCGGTCAGGATTGCAGACTCAGAAATGTACCCGATGTAACTTGGCATTCTCAAAACACATCCTTGGAAAGATTGGATGTGCACAATGGAAGCCAAATCGCGCTTGATCTTGTTTTGGAATCTATTGAATGTCACATGGTCAAAATATAAAGAGATAAATGAAGCCAATGAACGTTTAATTGGATTAATATGCCCTGCTCTCAATGCACCAGCAATTTGCTCAGAGATATAATCACGACGCAGCATTGATGGAGTTGTTTGAGGGCTTGCCGTTTGCTAGAGTAATCAGCAAGTAATCAGGTAGCTGATTCACTGTTGCCAAGCAATTATCGATAAGAAAAGGTGCTTTGTCTTGAACACAGCTCTCACTCTCTGTCCCCTCTATCACCACTCGCCCACTCACACAATGAACACCTTATCAAAGCATGGAACTTCCTATCTGCTGCACAGCATGATCCCATTAGCTCGGCTGAGTGTGTCTACGTTTGCTGAGGGACCGATAGGAAAGTGTTAATAACTTCTATGTTTGAGCTCCGTTTTGTCAGCAGCTGAGGTTTGTTTAGCATGAATTTCTAATAATAACACTGTTCAAGCTGCAAGCAGTTCCCATATCTACTTGTTTCTGTCCTGCTGGCTATAGAGTGCTGCAGGCATGACGTATTTTTTGGAAGTTAGAATCGCACTGGTTCCCTCGTCAAAAAAGTCGATGGGATTTCTCCGCTGGATTTTGGAATATTGCAGAAAATAATCCAAGAAATGAACGCATCTTTTATGATTTTTGAAGTATGAATGCAATTCACAGAAGAAAAAAGCTAACATATAAACAAACTACACCACGGGCACCATGAGGGCAAGCATCCACAACAAGGCTGTAAATGGCAGGAGAGTAAAAAGTAAAATACTTTAAATTTTTTAAATATTTTAAATTATATCGGTCAACAAACCCGTGGCCAACACCTCACAATTTTTAATAAGCTACAATCTGTACTATAAATACATGTTATGCACGTACCCGAATATCAATATGTAGATACATACATTTATTTATAAATATACAAAATTCCGTGTTTTATCTTTGTTTGTGATCGTGGATAAGAATTAAAATCCTCACTCCCAAAGGTGACAAAATACTTAATTCCTAAATTCCTACAAATAGTAGTTATATCTAACCTGTATTAAAACTGTATAGACTGTATAATACAATATATATTTATATTATAATTTTAGTATATGAGTTTCATGGTATGATTACCATCAGAAAATATCATGGTTTCTTCTTATTCTGCTGCTTCTTGTTCTTATACTTCTTCATATTATTCTCAGTTACAATGATCCCTAACGGATTGAGAAAAAAAACATGTTGATGTTATCAGCACTGTAGCATGGTAAATAACTACTACATGAAAAATAGCATCAGCTATGAGCGTTTAAAATAATATGCTATGAATATTAACAATTAACATATATTGTTGGTGCCAAACAATGCAGCCAGGCTAATCCTTTCTTCACACACACTCATGTTATTTTTGTTTTTACTACTGTAGATAACAACATCCACACGGTATGATAACCGTCAATGTTAAAACCCGCCGGTATACCAGTATATCATTACAACCCTAGCTGTAGGTGACCTACATGCTTATTTGCAAACGTATCAATAGTCTCACCTATACCAGGCTAGGAAGCTATGGAAATCAAACAGGCAGGTCACAGGCACTGCAGTGAGTCAACGAGAGCCCAAAGCAGCGAAAGAGTGAGAGTCTAATCAGGGCTGCAGGAGATGGAGCGTTTATTGACTCAGCCTCGTCCATCAATTCCAGCGGCAGCACACTGCAGAGTTTTCAAGGATCCAGGGTCAGAAATAAAGCCCCGGCAGTGTCAGGGGTTTCATAGCACGCAGGAAGCAAAGCATACTTCACTGCATTCAGAAGCACTAATCAGTGATGTGAGCAGGATATAATAAGAGGAAACACTGCAGGAAAAACATCACCATCTCCTGTTATGGCCTCTTACGATGCTGATGAATAAGGCTCCGGGTTAAGAGCTCTGACCATATGGTATCAATTCAATTCAATGAGCACATCAAAGTGGGCTACTAAATGGGGCTTAGACCATAGCATGAATGGTGGCAGTGTTATTGGTATCCCTGCAGGTATCAAATATAGAGGTGTTACAGGGAGGAAGGATCTAATCTTCATCAAAACCTAAAATTGTTTATAGCAGTCAGAAGTGGCAGGGTCCAGCACAGTTATTTCTGTTGAGTCCAGGCTCGCTCGCTAACTCATGATCGGGTGACTCACTGTGTAATAATCAGCCCTGTGAGGCGTTGGAGTTTTTGTAATTGCTGAGCTGGTTCATCTCGCAACAAAACAAACTTTTTGTCACAAGTAAATTTGGCAACAAAAAGTGTATATTTAATGTTTTTGAAACCCCTCATAGGTTGTCTTTAAACCTGAAATGGGTACCATAAAAGACCTTGTCTTGAATGTACAGGTGTAAGACAAATACAGCCATTATGCTATACTGAGCATTTGTTTGCCATTAAGATTCCAGGTTCTATCAGCATTGTTGTGATTGCTCCAGCTGCCCCCGGGAGTGTGTTTTAAGCGTCTTTTTTTGATTGCAAAGATTTCTAAATGAAATGTCTCTCTGGTAAGCCATGATAACATCAGCTGGAAATGCCGAGAAGAGGAGACTCAGGGAATGGAGGCAATATTGCCATCCCACAATTCCTTAATGCTGCAATAGAAGACTCTGTGTGGCCTTTCCCAGATTCCGATCAGTCCTGTGGATTTTTCATACAGAGATTTGACAGGTTTGATGATAATACGTATGCTTGTGGAAAAAGGGTGTAGAATCAATCAACATTTCCTCGCTCCACGTTTTCACACACTCTTCTGGAATTAGTTTAAGCGTTAGTGCTCTCACTCTCAAATGGCTTGTAGTGTGAGTGGACTAGCAATTCTGAGATTCTGAATCTTGTGGTTAGCTACTAATGGATAAAGAACTTGTTCCGCTGTTAGAGATTGTCAGGCGGTTAAAGACAAAAAGGTAAACATGCATCTTAACATCCATTTTCTCATAAATGTGTGCAACATTAGTTAACTTTCTCTTAATTTGTTCTCTTTCATTGAAGCACTACTGGCACGAGTATGTTCTCTTTTACCAGGCTAATTGTACTTGCCTGGTTCACCAGAAACAGTGCTAATGCTTTGTCTAATGATCTATAGCCATGCCTGGATGTACTGTGCAACATTGGTATTTACTTTCTTCACTTTAGATTCATATTTAGAAGAAGCATTTCCAGTCAACATTGCATCTATTTGTTGCCTAGTGTAAGTTCAGTTGAATTCTCCTGGGGCTATGGTTCCTCCAAATCTAAATCTCTCATAGACCTTGAAAAACGAGAAAATATTCAAATGTTTTGATGATTCAGATCCATTGCACAAGCCTACCTTCTCACATCCAGTATTTATCATTGTTTGAAAAAGATAAACCCTTGGATTTTTCCCAGCGGTTAGTGAAGGAGTATCAGTAAAATGTTCCAGACATGCCAGTTGTGATGTTTTCCATCTTCTCTCCCCCTGTGTGTTGCTGCAGATGCTCCAAAAATCCTGGGTCCAGTGACAGTGTACACGTGGGAGGGGAACGCGGCGAACATCAGCTGTGAGGTGGAGGCTTACCCCGGAGCCTCGGTGGTTTGGTTTAGAGACGGACTCCAGCTGCCCTCTTCCAACACCACCAACATGAAGATCTACAACACACCAACCATCAGCTACCTGGAGGTCTGCTGCACGTTACTGACATATAAAAGCAAAAGGGTTGATAGAACATATAGAGAATATTGACAGGGCATGCCATCTTTCACATGAATAGCTAATAAGTAGTTTGAGAGAAAGATACTGAGTACGGAGCGCTATGTGCGAATGAACCCGTGCGGGATGATTTGTTCCTACACTGGATATCTGAGCATCTGCATCGCGACCGTTTTCCAAATGAATCATTCTCATTCAGCAATGACTAAACTGCTACATGACACAAAACCGATAACTAACGATTAAATCCTCAAAGGTACACGTTCAAGTTCTTCACAGGTCTACTCCGTTCCCAGAAGTATTTTGTTATTGTCCGCCTGCAGTGCCTGGCCGCTTGACCTCTTAGTGTTTTCGGCTTCTTTTCTGTTTCTCAGATTACCCCCGATTCTCAGAATGACTTTGGGAGCTACAACTGCACAGCAACCAATGTGATGGGCTCTGAGTCCAAGGAGTTCATTCTGATCCAAGCAGGTTTGGCATTGCATTTAAGTTAAAGTGTGTTGTGTGTTTGTTTTGTTTTGTTTTTTTGACCAAACAACAGTTTTAAGAAAAATGTAAATAATTTAAAATCCCAAATGGGGGTAAGTGAGAAGTATTAGTGGTTTGATGACTTTACAGCCTAGAAATAATGTGATAGCACCTGTGGCGCTAAAAAAAAAACAAAGACAAGAAACAGGAATATGCACAGAATTGTGAAGCAGGTAACGAGCAAAATTCTAATGACAGTGGATGTGTCCTTTAAGTGATACTTTATTTGCACTGCAAATCATTTGTGTTAGCTTTATTTGGTGTACAAATTGTTTTGGACCCGTTGAAGGAGGCAGGTCACTCAGGACCGTGTCTAAATACAGAGTGGTCGAGTTAAGTGTGCTAACAACCTCTGCTGCCACTGTGTGATATACTGTAAGCCCTTTGAGGTGATTTCTCGCTGCATAACTCATTATATGCCGAAAGGGACTCCCTCCAACCGTCACTGAACTAAGAGTGTTCCAAAAGGAACCCAACTCAAATGCATCTTCACACCTTATTTTCAACATTGAAATGTCAAAATCAGACAAGTAGCACGAGGCAAAGAGCTTCACTAAACAAAGCAATTTCAAGGGTAATTAAACTGTTTCTGCATTACATGCTGATGGTAAACAATCCAGCAACGATCCAGTGGATTTATCCTTATAGAAGGAGCATTTCCAGTTGTGTGTCTGTTTGCATGATGGTAGTGAGTAGCTCTTGGAAGTTTGCAGACTTGCATAAATGGTTGATGATAAGTTGATGCGCCAGAACAGAACTCAGCCGTGTGTCCATACTTGACACTTCAGTAAGATCTGCCTGATTGGATAGGGATGGGATGTATTTCATGGTCAAAGGAGCGGCTGTAAAACGGTGGATAAACTAATTACATTTCCTATAAATTCTTGACAATGGAAGTCCATTTGCTGTTCATTTCGCTGCTTTAGTAGACTTGCTTTATTGAATAATCGCCGCTAAGCTCCGCTCATTTGCTGATAAACGTATGTTCCTGTAAATTCTTCACAATAAACTTTGTCTGTTATTTTGTTGTTTAAGCGGTAAAATTAGGAATTGTTGGGTTTTCAACAGCAGTCACTTAACATGACTGACAGCGGGTCTCAGCTGTGCTTCCCTTTGCTCTAACTCAGGAGAGGAACTCTGCATGTGGGGGAAGATGATGCAAGACCCACGTCTGATAAATTGTCCAAGTTCTGCCCACATGCTGTCCACACCTCACTGAGATTAGAACTCATTGCGAGCCAGGCCACCTTGGCATGCAGTCTGGCTGATCGGATCCGACCTTGGAGCGCACAGACTTGACAGTTAATGCGTCCTGGCATGATCTGATGGCAAAAGTCGCATTGAAAAGACAAATGTCACCAGGGCCTGAGAATAACATCCAGTGTTGCTTTGTTTTACCAGCACTGAGCAGTGGTTTCAGAAGAAAGTCGTTCATAACATCGAACAATATGACAGAGCAAAAAAGTGTGAAGTTGATGGTGTCGCTAGACGAAAGGTCACGGCGTCAGTAAAATGAAAAAGGGTTCTTCCTAAAGGCAGCCTGGATGTGATTAGTAAATGTCTTGGTAATCTGTCCATAAGATACATTTTCTCATGCAAAAGTGTAAGTTTTAGCTTTATCGATGCACCAGAGCAAAGGTCAGGGAGTCACTCGGTTAAAAAAAAAAACGAATTAACTGTATCAAATTTTATGAGCAGTAATTGTAAAAAGACCCAAATTGAATGGATGGAATTAACACCCACCTGGCATACTGATTACCGCCATTAGGCCCTTCCCCTGAAAGATAAAAAAGACAGCATTACATATTGTGTCTACAGAGGACGACTGAATCGAGTACGGTGCTCCATCTCGGTGACACTTTGCCCTATCTTCATAAATCAAAGTGTGACTCAGGCTGGAGGTAAAGCTGTCGCTGCAGGCTCATTCAGGCATGTCCAACAGATCTGCAGTACTTTGGTGACCAGAGACTTTGGGGCACCAGAGGCATGCCAGCACCACAAGTGTCAAAGGGGCTGATTTAGAGCAGGACATTATCAGTAGGTGTTGCAGTGCCCGGTATCAATCTGAGGTGACCACATCAGCTCCTCTGATGCATTCAAATCTAATTCTCTCTCTGCCCATGCACGTAGATAGCTTGGTAAGACACACATATACAGTCCTTAAACCCTACTTTGTATCTCATACAACAAACCAGATACACATATACAGTATTAGCTTTAAATAACTAGCTTATCATAATATGTTAAAAATGCAATTTGCATTACATAACATTATATAATGGCAATATTTTCAGTGCCAAGTTGTTTCTCATGGGAATCAATAAACATGTTATACCGTGTATATACTGTGAGTTACACGCCTTTTGTGAAATCTTTTTTTTTTCATGGGAATCTTTGCAGCACTGCAAACTTTTAATATGAGTTTTTCAAAAGGCTTTTTTTTTTGCACTCTATTGCAGAGGTGCCATCATCGCCAGAAATCGAACAAGTGGAACCTTTCTCCAGCACAGCAGTGGTGAAGTTTGAAGAGCCTGACTCCATGGGGGGAGTTCCCATTATTAAGTACAGAGTGGAATGGCGTTTGACTGGCCAGGATTGGACCGGCAAAGAGCACTATGCTAGTGATGGTGAGTCAACCGTCTCTCCTGTCAAAAATCTATGCAAACCATTCACACAAATGATTTCAAAGAAGTCTTGTGTTGGGCTTTTTTTTAAGCATATTTTTTCACTGACAATTGATCAAAACCACCTGCCGTGACGGATATTTCTGCTCAATGTGATTCAGTGTTACACCACCACTTACACACATTTACCATGAAAGCCTGAAAAGAATACTTTCAATCAAGCAAATTGGATGCAATGGATGTTATAAAATTCTCTCTTCAGGTGCAGTGTTTTCTGCGGTCTCTGAGGACGCATCACCTGCATCACTACCCCCTGAAGCTATTTCAATCCTCAGCACCCAAACGAAACAGGAGCTAATTGACCTTCAAATCTCGCCTTTTATTATAACGTTTTAACTGTTTAGGTAACCCACTTATTGTAATTGTTACAGTGCAAAGAGAAACTGAAATTTTACTGAATTTACTTTTCATGGTGGAGCTTTCGCGAAAATATAATAGTAATATATTATATTATCAAACTTCAGTTTGAAAGAAATAATAAACAAACAGGGCTCCGGTGTACCATCAGCAACAGCAGCTACTCTCCCTGTTTTCAGTTCATAAGCACAATTGGAACTGTAGTGCCAAAACATAATTTATGTCCCAAATGGAAATAAGTAAAAGAAAACCAATACAACTGACAAAATCCATGAAAGTTAGCTTTTTTTCATCAGTACATTTTCTCCATTAATATGGTTCTTACATTTCTGGAACACTCACACTTTACTCTATCCATTCATTAACAATTATTTTCGGGTCTATTTCTTTCAAAATACATCTAAGAAGGGAAATCTGGGCCAAAACTACCGAAAACGTTTCGGATAGCAACAACAGTTAATGCCAACGCGACAGTAGCTGATGTCAGGAGGAGCGGTGGAACACAGTGTAGCCTAAATGTCAGTCAGCTCAGACACTGACAGGCCCCAGATAATACCCCCGTCCCACTGCGGGTTTTGAGGCTCTTACAGATCTGGATGGTTCTCGTCCTGTCTGCCACATGGGACGTATCAGTCAGTGGCTGACATGCTCCGCTGTCAACTCAATGCCCAAGAGCCGCCTGTCGTGCAAGCGTTTGCACAAAACAAAACACATGCAACCACACGCCAACTGTAAATGTTACTGAGAATATCTCATTTGACAACATCAGTTACCCCACAACTTATAAATGAAAGCCTTTCCAAAACACGCATGCACTGAATGAACCATGCCTGTTGCAATGTACATCCCTACATATGTTATTTATAGTATATTTGTAGCATTAATATGTAAAGTCAGGAATGCTAAAAGCTAAGTAATTTGAGATACAACATGCCAGGGAAGACGTAAGTGATTTGTCATTGATTAAAGATGAATCATTGAGTTTGAGTTAAAAGTGTCTCTCACAATATTGTGAACCAGGGCTGCCATCACATGTTTGAATGCAGTACTGCCACATATAGATACCCCACCCATCACTGTGGGTCCATATATAAATATCTACACCTGCAAGTGGGCACATACATGAGGCTACAAGTCAAAGTTAAAGTAGCTGCTTTGCTTTATACTGAACCCTGTAAAACTTATTCTGTGGCACTCGGACCCAAGCCCATTCATCTGTTTCCGAAAATCTAAATCTTTCATCAATTAAATATTTTAACTGGCAAAATAATTTCCTAAAAAAGCTTGCTGTAGTTCCTAGGATTGCTCACAGTATATGACCCTTGTCTCCAAGATTACAGATACGAACAGCAACAAAGTGCTGCTTGGCACAAATGCATTGTTGGAGAACATCATTATTTGCTCAGTGTTGGCTATCGGTTTACTTTTCTTCACTAATACTCTAGACACGGTCCACAGAACTTTTGAAACATTCCTGTTGAACTTTTTTTAAATGTAATTTTCCAATGCTGTGAGCATCCCAAACCAAATGACATTCAACTCCAGTTTGTTTGGGTGGTGACAAGATATTTCAGAGACAGATTTCTCAAAGCCTGGACAAATAATCTGCTGAGGTTAGAAATAGGCCAGGGCATTGTGAATCTAGTTACATATCGCGGCCATAATCATAGAGCCTATATGCTTCCATAATAGCTTTTAAAAGATTGATTTCTCTGACATCAATACACAGTCATTGATGCCGCAGTAAGCATGCACTGTAGCACCACAATGATTAACACACACCGAAGTCAGTCGAATTTGTAACGATTGTTATGATTTGTGGAGATAACCTTTTCGAGAAGCAGAGGAAACCAGCATGTGGTAATCATGGGTAAATTACTGCGGGCCGACTGGGAATCTCAACTGATCATAAAGGGCTTCTGCAGTGACATCAGTTTTACTGATACTGCAGGTGCTAAAAGCCCAGCCATGGATTCATTTGGCCTCGTGCTTTTTATCAGGCTGAACATATTTTCATACCCCCTAGCCAGAACCCTTAAGTGTACCGTGCGTTCATGCACGCGCACATGTATGCGCCTATGCAAGCACCATTAGGTGCATCGCCTTAAGAAAAAGACGGGGCTAACTCTTCAGCCTGACAGCTAACCATTAGCGTACTTGCACGTTGATTGATTGACGCAAAGACAAATTAGTGTTGAATTCGGGCGTGTGGTGCATTGTTTATTTATTTTTTTATTGGGTTAGGTGATAATGAATCAGACAGAACATGATAAACGGCTTTGCTCTCACTGAAAACAAGTATGAAATGATTCATTATTTAATCCCGGACTAACCTGGATGTCTGGTGTCTGTATTTTTTGCTATATTCATACAGTTTCCCCAAGCAGTCGCCTATTCTTTGTGATACACAGGGACATATCAGTCAAGTCGGTCTTTATGTCAAAAGTCAGGAAACACGTGTGTGTGTCTGCGTTATCCTGATTGAAATCTCTACAGTGCCTTGCTAATATGGTAATAACAGTGTCTCTCTAATGAAATGTTTTACAACACAAGTGCACACTTAAAGTAATTATTCAAAAACTACATGTTATATTTGAAGCTATCAAAATGCTTTATTGCCGTATGATTAGTTAATTCCCTTCACCCATTGAAATTACATTTATAGATTACACCAGCAGGCTTGCCTAATAGCGTTCTCTCTGTACTACACGTTGCACAATTTATTTTGCAATTTATCTTTAATCGTATTATCCTATTAAATATGCCAGTGATCGTAAACCAAAACCCCACTGTAATTACAGCAACTTGTCCTTTTTTTGGGCATTTGCTCTTCATGATGCTGGTCTTCTTCGCCCCATGTGCTCGCTGGTGACCATTACATGCACGTTTTCAATCAGTGACATCTGTGAGTTTATTGGGTGGTTCTAACCAAGTTGTGTAGTGTTTTTATTTAGTGAAAACTGAAATTGTGCAGATTGTTAGAAACAAAATGACTGCATCAGATGTTTGGGTTGAATGCCTAATAAGATCTATGTTTGCATTTTTTGGACAAAGAAGCTCGTACTAGTTTTTCACAAAAGACATTTTGCATGAATAACTGCGTTCTAATTTAGCCTATTCATTAGCGCATGAAGATTTAGACGGGCACTCGGAGAGCTCAGACTTCTGCCAAGAAAATAGGCCCAATCTCTCAATGTTAACACAAGTGAAAAATAAGTCATCCTTATGACAAACCAAACTACAAACATAATCTCCTTGACGGCATATATTTTGCCTTTATTCCCTGTTCATTCTCTGTCCCCTCTATACCTGCCTGGAATAATGCTACCTCACCTCCCACAGACATGACCGCGATCACCATCGTTGGCCTGAAGCCAGAGACCACCTACGAGGTCAAGATGTCGGCCATCAACGGCAAGGGCGAAGGCGAGAGCAGCCTGCCCAGCACTTTCAAGACTGAGCCAGTCCGTAAGTACTGCCCTCGCTGTTCGTGTCCCTGCCCTCAGTAAGTGCACATCTGAACTCAATGCTTTGAACCTAATGCTGTTGCTCACTCCACTGCCTGCTCATGTCTAGCTGAGGCCAGATGCTTTCGCCCCTACTCTCCTCTATTCTCACGCCAAGCCCCCCACCCCCTCCCAGTGCAGGCCTTTTTTCAGCCAGGCCAACGAGGGAACGATAATTCCCAGTGCCACTTCATAATCCAACTTGGTTAATAGTGTAAACTAAGTAAAGCCCGTGTCCTTCATCACTGGACAGTATTATGTGCCTCTTTCATAATGACTGTTTGCAACGTTTAAGGCTCTCCGTGCCTCCTTCCATTCCACAGAGCTCTGCCTTTTTAGCCCACAACTCAGGTGATTCAGTGAAAGCTTTCTGGAAGGTACTTGTGCATTTCTATAGCTGATTTATACCGCCATGTGAAGAAGTGTCAGTTTCTGTATTTATAATTCATTAACGGCGCACATTGTTAATATACAGTAGCTGCCAGGGGTCAAGCCCTGCTGAAGGTTGTTTATATTTCGTGGAGGAAATGGCAGCACACGATGAAATGTCGGAAGTGGAGGAAATGTTCTATCCGTCTGTGTTTGGGAGAAAGGAGAATGAAGTCACCTTGACGGATCAAGGGAAATACAAGGAGAATAGCTACTTGTCAGACAGATGAGGGAAGATTGCTGCCACCCTCTGTGTTCTCACCATTTCAATTTTTCTTGGTGAATAATCTGGCGTCAAATCACAGCTGTGTTAGGCATATGGCATCATCTGCAACCTTACAGCAAAGAGCAGGTGCGCAACACCTGTCGTCAATCAGAACGTGCCGGCTTGACATCAAATGTGACAATTACGTGTTTATTTATGTGCAGCAGCATGTCGCATAATGCTTTCTCATTGAAGGATAAATTAGAGGTCCACAATTGGCTCTAGGCTGAAAGCGTCAATGCTGTACAGAAGAGATGAGTCATCTCTAAGGTTTACGTTTATCCAGTAAGTAACATGATACCACATGATTGCATAGACAAAGGTATTAGTTCTTGGACAGTTGTGAGCCATCACTCTTAATTGTACTGCCTTACAGCCACACTCATTAAATCCAATGTGGCCAAAAGATTTGTGACATAGCAACATTCAATAAAGTCCGGAAACAGGAGCAGTCAGGCAATCAGAAAGGTTGTAATACAGTTTAGCCAGATTATCTAAACCACTCTATTTGTTAGTAATAATCCCGCATTGTGCAGGAAATATGAATGATTCAAAACTATACATGAAAGTCTGTCCGTAAACTATGATGGATGTTTACATGGACATTATTGGGTGATACTTGCCGTGTCAGACGCTGTTCCCGACTTACTTTGTTGGTTTCATGCGATTATTTCTTATAGAATGAATGACTCAAATCATAATAAACCAGAATTACCCTTATTTCCTTCTATCCACCGCAGAGCGAGTGTACCAAGGCCTCAGTTAGGCACAACGGATCTAATTCTCAGTCAGCTTTTCAAATCAGGTTCATGAATAAATCTTTGTTTTAGTTTGTACCAGCCTCTATGCCATGCTTCCATCTGTGCTTCATCACCCTACTGCCTCTGCAGAAAAAAACCCTCCTCGGCATCCTGATTCCTGAAAGAAAGAGGCTTTGTGTCTGATGTATTTATTGATTTTACACCAGTCTAACTAGAACGTTTGTTTTTTAATGTATAACATAAAGGATGAGCTCAAGCTTAATTCAGTGCATCATTAACAGAAATAAAATGATAACAGACATGGAGGAATCAGTTTAAATTGCATGCAAGTTGTCATGTAATGTGTTATTTTTACTTCAGAGAAGCATGAGATTGTCATCCAGAAAGCCAGTGTTCTTTTAAGAAAATGCTCAGACCAAGGTCGCGTCTGAGCGGGAAATCATTAAAAAGACAATTTTCTAATGTTGAGGGTAATACAGTAGCAGTATTATCAAAGCCAGAGTTAGCTGCAGAACAAAGAGAAGCGAGACTCGCTGGAGACAAAGCGTGTAATAAGACACAGTACCAGTGTGGCAGTGGGTTAATGGTGTGGCAGGACAGCGATGCCCTCTCTCATTGTTCATGTTTCTCATTTCATTGTCTTTTGTTTCTTCTTTTTGTTTTGTTGTTTCCTCATCATGGTTTCCCATCTGTTCTGTATTCCACTGGACTTCCCAGGGTATTCTTTCACAAGTAAGTTTCATTTCTCCCTGTCTTGTCTGCTTTATTTTTCTCTTTACTTCCATCTCCACTGCATTTATTTGCTTTTTTTTGACCATTCCCTAAAGAGTGCTGCAGAAATATGTCCTTAAACCTGGAAACGAGTTAGCATTTTGCACTTCAGGTTCCATCGTCTCAAAGTCAATGTTTTTTTGAAATGTTTTTTTGTTAAGCCTAAAATAAGGTCTGCGGTTAACACACGCTTGGTTGATTTTTAACGTGTTCTACGACATAAAATACATCAGTGAAAACACCTCTCGTGAATTTTGAAGCTTTTGTGTCTTAAAAAAGGTGATTGTGAACAAGTGGATAAATGAGTCGACTGAAACGTCATCACGTCAACGAGTCTGCCTTTACAGCCTTGTTGTGTATACAGTGGTGTAGTTTGTTCACATACAACAAATAATTTTTAACTGGTGTATTCTTTCATGAGGTGATGAGGTCATGTGAAGATAATCTTGCTGAACAAAACCTGTAAGTATCATTATGTGTCATTATAACAGCTTATTTTCTGCAATAATCCAAAATCTAATGGCTATTGTGTTTTTTTCGATGGAACCAGTGCGATGCTAGCCTACAAATACAGTCATCCCTGCAGCACTCTATTAGAACATTGATTTTCTGATTGAAGGTTTGAGAGTTCCACAGAAGTCATCACCTAAAACCTTGAAATGTTTTTCGCCTTACTTGAAAAACAGTACTCATTTCATGACCTGTTGTACTCATTTTCTAGACGGCAGTCCATTCCGTTACTCTAATATGGCCTCAGGTTTGTTTTCCAATGTGACCGATTGATATGACTTACAGTGCAGTCTGCAGCAAGTGTGTTATTTGTACCCTCGTCCGTAGTGCCACCGTTGCTTCTTTAGTATTGCTTGCCCGTAGCATCCTCCTCTTGGTGTCTCAGTAGTATAAATTGCATTGCACTTGTGCACTGCAGCAGTTTAGCCAATGGGTGTTACTGTATATCAGGCCTTTAAAGAAGGTATACTGTCTTTAGAGACCACAAAGAGGATTAACGGTTGTACTGCCTTGTGATAATCAACGTGAGATTAGAATATTTACTGGTAATGATATTAAAAGCAGGGCAACCTCGCACATAAATGGCCCCATCTGGGTAAATAAGGTTTGAATATTCAGGCCTTCAATGCCCTGAAATCTTAAGGATTCCCCTTTTGTACTCACAGATATTAAGGATGTGATATTAAGGAGCAGTGGGCAGCCGGCACTGTGGGCTCTCAACATGGCGACGCCTGAGCCAGCTGCTCGTAGCTCACGTGTGGTCCAGACTTGTCGTGCAAATAGTCTGTTATCCAAGCCTAAGTGTTTCACTAAAGTAGGTCCAGTGTGTATGTGCTAAGAGGTACGGAAAAACAAGAGGAGACATTGTTCCACAGGACTGAATCACGAAGACGGTATAAAAACACAAGTGAACCCAGCAGGGAGTTGCTCTTGTTGAAGAGAGCTCCAGCTCTTCTCACCATGTTTTCACCATCTTTCAGTTTCATCAGAGACACCACCCCCTATTGCCACCACCAGTGTGGCTCTTAGTGAGTATGCCAGTCGTGCGGTGTGCAGTGTGTCTCTCTCTTCACCTCTGTCTCTCTTACCTGCTTGGCCTTACACTTGGTGTAGATGTTAATTTCTTTCCAGTGTGGCTGATAGGAGAGCTCGTACACCCTCTGTAGAGTATAGCGACAGCAAAATGAGCTTTGTTAACACTAGATCATGATTTTACTAACATTTGTCAAGGGCATGACGGTTGCCCTTCTAACAGCCTGACTATGGTGTTGTGAATGCATTAACATGAAGACTCAAATCACAGCACATACTGTACTTAAGACTCCTCTGATTTTGGTGCAGTGGGTTTAGAGAAGGTTATACTACTGTAAATCAGCTGTGACCTGGTAAACCTGACCTTTGAAGACCCTGGTAGACCTGGTCTACAGAACTCTGTGCTGACACTGAAGACTCATAAAACTCTATCACACAACATAATCATGGAAACACGACATTTAGGCATAAACAGTGAGTGATAGGATCCATGCTAACACCTACTACGTCTTAGATCTTCAAAATGAGCATTTTTAACATCCAATTGGTTAAGCACTGATTGGTTTGGAAATGGGCTATTATCAACAATATATTTAGTTGTTTCTTCTAAATGTATTGTTTCATTGGTAAGCCATTCTGACAGTCTACCTTGATGCCTGATTAGACAAAACAAAGAGAGCTACCACCCTGCAGTAATGCTTTTCCCTCCACTTCCTACTACCTACCAAACCTGTTTCTGCCTCTCTTCCATCTACATATTGCAATTCTTATCAAAACCACTCAAGACGTTGACTTTCCTTGAGAGCTCGTCTATATTTCGTATCATTGTGTCCGTTCAGCTCAGACACAGTACCAGATCATCTATCCTTCATGACAGCGTGCTTCACACTAGTCTTGTGCATTTGACAGGCAGTAATGTGAGGTAGTTTCCTCTACTTGCTGTGTTGCTCAGTGTGCCCTGAACAACACAACCAGGAACTAAACTGCTGATATTCTGTCATTATTTTGTGCAAAGAGCCAGTAAAAGTATAAGTGATTGCACCTTCAAGCAACTAACCCATCAAACTAATTATTGCTTTAATTCCTGAAGCAACAGTATGTAAACATACATGATTTGTGTGTTTGGTACAAGGTTAATGGGGTAATTGTTGTACGTCTATTGTCGCTCCTTTTAAATGAGATCCTGTACTGTATGAGAATTGTATGTTCTTGCTGTGTTCCTAACCAAATCTCTCCCTTTGAACTCACTTTTAACAACATGTGGCTTTACTTTAGAGTCAGCTAGGATGTAGTTGTTCATAGTGTGTTTTCTGCAAGTGCATCACTCAAAGCAAATGTCACAAATGCTTTTAGACCTTATTTCTCCTGATGTTTCATGTGTTCATGCTGTTGTCTGCTGCTTTGTGAATCGTATTCAGTTGCCAAGATTTGTATTCTCAAAGCTGCAGAGTTTCCTCTTTTGACCCTGAGTTCTAGTTTGTCCCTGGGAAACCAAACAAACCGCTGTGTTTTTCTTTTATACCTCTAATTTGTCTAAAATGGCACACTTGGTGTTCGAGCGCAGCATAGTTCAAATTCAGATTGGAATTAATGTTGCTATCTAAAACATTAGAATGACAGAAAAATGTGTCCGAGGAAAAGCTGTTGATTATGTTAATGCATGAGGCAATTATAGATGTCCAGTTTTGGTTGTATCTAAAATCTATATCTTAAAATCAATATCAATTAATTTCTTTCTTCATTTATTTAGTATTCAACATGTTTCCAAAAACCAAAACTGAAAGTCTGGAATTACTTCATATATTCAGCAACATGTTTACTTTTGTACATCTATTCAAAAAATCTATTTATCGATTATTGTTTTTCTCTCGGTTGTTTGTGTTCCCTTTGTGCCATTGTGTCTTTAACATTATTGTTCATTTGTTTATTCTGTTGACATGTTTTCATCTTTTCACAAATGTTGTCTGTGTTTTCCATGTGCCCCGTGCCTCTCCCCCCTCCCTCCTTCTCCTGTATTGTCCAATCAAACAATCATGTGCGTGCACATCATGTGACTTTGTCATGTGGCTCTTGCATGGTGCTGATGATGTCGTCTTCGCTGGCCAACAGAAGGTAATTTTTATTTTGTTTAGTTTGAGATCATAAGATGATCATTCAGAAGGCTTTCGTTAAATTAGATTCATAGGCGAAACCTTTTATTTGGCCATGTTTCATCCATCTTAAAGCCAATTCTGTAAATATGTAGTGAACATTTAGTAAATATGCACTATTTCATCATCTCACTCATCTTAAGACCTTTTCTTCCTTCCAGCCAACAATGATGTTTTTGCCAATTCTCCATTACAGTCATTAATTAACAATGCAAGACCATCTCCTCTTAGTGCCTTATGAAAAATTAATAGTATATTGGCAATATAATATGATAATGGGAGAAATACACACCAGGGCCACATTCTCTTCTCTGTGGTTAACTGAGCTAGCTTAATGCGATTGTTAACACTTTCACATGTGTTTGCCCTGATCCAGAAATGATAACCAGATCCAGATTGCATGTTAATACCCGGTGGAACCGAGGTCTCTGATTTGAGCTCTCCTGAGTTGTTCCGTTTCAACGTGACTCAATCAGCCACAGCGCTGTGCAAGTCATATGAGGATGGATTAAATGTTTCTCCTATTTTCCATTTATTCAATAATCAAAATTATCAAAGAATACTAAAAACCAAGATTATGAATGAAGAACTGGACTAGCTGGAAGATAATTAACAAGATCATGTAGCAACATATTAGTCAGGATTAGTTATGGGACAAAGAATTAGGTACAATGGGGTTATTAGATACATTTTAATCCACACTTTTATTTTGTGAATCCCTGGTGTGTTTTTTCTTGTCGTTATTTTTTATATAAAAACTTGATTATAAATTTATTTAGCAATATGTTGGTTTTGATAGCCTTTGTTTGTTTTTTAATTTTAGCTGTAAATTTGCTTCTATGTCCTCTTAAAGTCATAGATTTCATTTTGACAATCAGCTTTTTTTGTTTCATCAAAATGTCTATTTTTGTTATTCACCAATGCATATTGAATGGCATTGAAACATCACAAGAGCACCCTCACAAAGCGCCCCTGACTGAATTCTGCATCGCATGCACTGTTAAACATAGTCCTCCTATCCTCAACTTTTCCTCAAATGATACAGTAGCTCACAGGGTTTCACTGATTGGACAGCGGCCCATTGCATTACTGCTGCATGCAAGTTTATTCACAGTTTCTTGTTGCGTCCTTCTTCTTCTTCTGCTGTTTCCCAAAGAGAAAGTCAGTCCTGTCTGCATGTGGCTGTGTCTTTGGTGTCATGTCTTCTTCTACATATACATAAAACACTGAAAAAAAAACAAAAAAAACATGAAACACAAATATGATGCTTTAACCACTTGTATACCAGCAATATGCATAATTCATCATATGGGTTTTATTTTAAAGTTCAAGCTGCACAGTGAAGCATTCAATTTATAATAGTGAGTATAGGCTGAGTGTTACTTTTACATTATTTTTCAGCATTAAACGTTATATCAGATGGAACTATGAACCCAAACAATTGAAAAATTAAGAATTCCTGTACCCATCAGCATGTTTTCAATAATTCCTGTTCAATTCTATCCACTTAACACCTCATTGTATACGCTGGGGGACGAGGGGTTATTCGGTCGGGGTACATGTGGAACCACACCTCCTACATGTGTGTCAGTGTGAGGTCATTGGGCAGCGCTCCACATGTTTCCCCTCCATATGTGTAGCAGCACCCAAGATTTCCAGCTTGCATGGAGAAGCTTCTCATCCTAACCACTCTCTTTCTCTGTTTTAGCCTCAGAAAAAAAAAAAGACCTAACCAAGAGTGATGCTTATGAATAACAATGCTCAATGTACCAAATGTCTACCTGCTGCTGTCACTAACTAACACTGTCTGATTCACTTCCAGCATCTGTCATGCTCACCCCAGTCTAGTGGAATGCTTGTTTTCAGCCAGTGCGCTCTGATGATTACAAGAAAGAGTGCCTTCATGCATTATTCATTTAATTAACTACAACCACAAAGAGTTTGAAATATTGAATATTGGGTGTGGAAACATGATTACTGGCTCTTTTTTTTTCTGTGTCAATTTGAAATGTATGCCAATGTTATTTCAATCCTTACCTACTTAATGACCTCCCAACTAAAGCATGCATTCAAATCTTCATCGTTTCTTTGATTATATAAGATACAATGGGAGTTTTTTTCTTCTTCTGCCATCTGCTTGTGTGTTAGCTCAGGGCAAAGGCTGTCACGTCATCAAGTAGTCAGTTTAATAACATGATCCCAAGGCTAACTGTGTGTAGCCGGTGTACATAATTAATGAGTTTGGATTTGCTAGACTCCTCCCTTACAGTGGCATGAGAGTAAAGGCCATGCACAGAAAACACCTCAGCCTTCCCTAGCACAAGACTATGTATGTATTATCAAAAGTAATAGAGTAACCAAGGCCTACAGGCTCATTATCCAGTGACCCAGCAGTCATTACTCAGGAGAGCAGAGAAGGTAATGAGGAGCCTCAAGGAGAACAACAGCTCTTTGCCACAGCCCTCTGTCCCCAGCAAGTTCCCACATTACAAAACTGCACTGTCAATTAGGTTTCAAGGGAACATATTTTATCCCGGATTTCATTTGTTTTTTTTGACGTCTCACAAATACGTTCTAATCTAAGTCCGCGGAAGTCCATGTGGAGAGGACGGGTCAAACACAGGACTATCACCAGTGGAGACCGGTGTTTGTGCCCTGTGTGTTACCAAAAGTGACGTACTTGTTTTACCACAAAACATGTTCTTTTACGAAACCTAACCAATTAGTTCTGTTGCCTAAACTTAAACATAATTTAGAATGCAGTTTTGAAACCGCAAGCGTTAAAACGGAAACTGAAATGTTGGTTTGAAACGTATATTTTGTTCAGAAATGTTGAGATTCGACGTATCCCTGGTTTGCAGAAACATACAATGCTAATGTTTTATTCTGGCACTTGGGTTGCAGACTCTTCAAGCTGCCGTTAAAAGGTTACTCAAAAGGATCCTCAAAATATATCTTTGATAATCAAATACTCCCTCACTGTATGCTTGAAAAGTGAGTTCATGTTGGTCCCAACAAGTTCCAGTTATCAGTGCCTTCCAAAACTGTTCTAAATCAGCATTAAATGATCGTTTCCTGATCTGCCACTGCCATTGGTAAAGTTTGGTTTGATTTCGGCACAAACACTTTTTGATCGAGTTAAGGACAGATTGTGGTCTGCGCTAAAATATGTACTTTAAGTTTAGGGAATGATTGTGGTTGTGGTGAAAATAAACCAAAAATGACTTTTGGTAAGAAACAGGGAACAAACAGAAGACTCCCGTGTCAAAGCCCAACACTTTGTGACTCGAGACTCAAGTCCTTGTCAGGAAAACATAGTCATAGATCCTATGTGGGCATTAGCATACCCAACTGATGAGAACATTGACACCAAAGTCATTCATATGTCCCTAGTAGAACATGGGCTGTGATGCTCCATGCTAACGTTTTAGCTGTTTGGAACTGCTGTGTAAACATAAAGCTAAAAGCTTCTAATTTTACATCTAGTGTTTGTTTGACAAAGATCATCATTGCATTTAATTTGACCACTCTCTTACATAAACTAGTCAGATGTAGCCACAGTTCTGTTGACATAATACCAATGGATAATGGATATGGTCAACATATGACAGCATGGAGCACTGGAGCCAATGATCTGCAGGGATTTGATTGGTTGTGTTGTGGTCGTTGATCCTCAATCACACTGTGATTACAACTACCACATCTGTAACTTCCTCTGGATGCAATGCTCATTGAAGCATTTTAAAACAGTATAGGTTGAACTGGTGATCAATTTAAGTTTTTAGTTTAGCTGACCTTGAAGACACTTGCCCATTTGAACATAGCAGGACGGTTTGGAAGCACAGTAGCTAACTACAAAGAATGGTGTGCATGCAACAGCCATATATATGTATACTAATCATGGTTCATTGGTTTGTCCTGTGTAGGGGAACCCAGTGCCCCCATACTAGAAGTCAAGGTCCAAGAAAGGGGTAATACTCTTAAGGTCAACTGGATCAAGCAGGACGATGGCGGTTCCCCCATTAAACACTACCTGGTCAGATACAAGGCTGTGAGTATCCTGAGCAAGGAGGTATCTTGGTACCACTTTGCTGCTTAAATTGTTTTTCCCAATTCTTTCAATGGTTTCATGAAAATTGGTAGTGAACAGTGTTTGGAAATGTTTGCCGAAACAGGAATAAACTTCTAGCCTCTGCCAAAAATAACACCCGACAACAACTCTCAGACACATTAAAGCACCCTTTCATCAGAATGTTGAAGCGGTCCTTCAATGCCTGGAGACCTTCATTCCCTCCTAAATCATCTTCTCAGGAAGGAGTTGGCGTCTCTGGGTTGTGTGTTGCCCCCAAGACGCTTCACTAATTCAGATTTTAGCACGTTAAACTGAACCATCTCTAGCCAGAAGCACATTTTTACTCTTATTGAAACTATATGATTGTTGTCAAGTTCGATATTGTGAATTGCATTATTTTCCTTTTCACATGGCTTTTTTTGTGTGGAACTGAAAACTGTGCTGTAAACTCTTGTGTAGTTTGTGGGTTTATTGAAGAACAATGCGCATTGGCCAAATAGAGAATGGGATAATTCCCAAATAATCTGAAATGAGCCTTTTCCTCTGTGTCTGTATAGAATGACCACACTCCCAGTTGGTTACCCAGCTTTGACTTTTGTCTCCTCTGCATTCCTTTCCTCAGAAGCACGTATCCGACTGGAAACCAGAGATCCGCATTCCCCACAACAGTGAGTATGTGATGCTGAGCGGCCTGGACTGGAATACAGAGTATGAGGTTCACGTGGTGGCAGAGAATCAGCAGGGCAAGTCGGAGCCTGGCGTCATCTCCTTCAGAACAGCTACAGACCCCACTACCATCCCAGGTACTGTTCCCACCATCTCACCCGAAGCATCCACACACAGCAGCCACAGTGCACCAAGGCTCCCACCGTGACCAGAGAGGCTATATTGGATCCTTGACTATTTACCAGGTCTTTATCCAAAGCTTGCTGGCTGGCTTGCTGGTAAGGGTCTGACATGACTCATCTGTCTCCGTCTGTTGCATGGAGGATGCATTGTTTACTTTACTGTGCAGTTTGAAACAAAGTAGAAGTCGAGGATTATATTATTTGCTAAAAGCAATACAAAGTTACATGTAATATGTCAGCCTATACAGTAGGTTTGAAAAGACAAAGTTCCACAAAAATCTGTGAAATGAGCACAAACTCTGAAATGCATACAGGGTGTTGCAGTCGTGATTAATGAGAAGAATATATTCCTCCAACTTGAAAGGATTTTCATTCCAGCAATATGACTTTATGATCAAATGAAAGGTTTTACTGATGGTTAAAATTACAACAGTAAACCCTTGTTTGGGATTAATGTTAGATTAAGTCCAGGTAACTAAACTAAACATTGGGAATGGCTGAGTTTCAATGCAGACTAATTATGATAGCTACATCATGGCCAATGAGCAGAGTGGGGCATTATTTCAACACAATACGCTGGCCTGAGAGTTGTTGCTTATTGGACTGTAGAATTCTTATTTCTATTTCCATGCAATAAAGCAGACAGCAATTTGACATTCTTCTACAATAGTTTAACAATTACAGAGTTTCTCTGTAGTATTTTGTAGAGGTGTAAAATGCTGTTTGTGAACTAAATGACAGAACAATGGAAAAGACAATGAAATCAGAATCAAATTTATGGGCCAAGTATGTTTAAGCATGCAAGGAATTTGACTCTGGTTTTCAGTTCTCCTTAAAGACGAGTGAATGTAGAGAAAGATGCACACAGACAACAAAGCTATGTACCTGTGTGTTGTCATCGAGTAGTACGATGTGTGTGCCTCAAAAGTTGCTGAAAAATCGAACTTTCTTGTAAGTAAAAAATATGTGAGTCATGACTTGAAGCTGGGTCATCCAAAGTTTATATTCCTTTCACCATCGGCCTGTACTCTCTTTCTTTAAACTGTAAATGCCAAGCCTCTTGTTTCCAGCTATGTCTCCTCCACCTAATCCTTTCCTCTTGGAGAAGTACATTTCTAAGTGTTTTCATGCACGGAGCACCCTATTAGCATTTGAAAATATTGTGCTCACTTTGAGAGACAAGTCTGCAGAAGAGTAACTATTGAATCCATATGAAGAGCAGATGCATATATTCGCTATATACAGTATATATATATATATGCTCCTCCTTGATGCTTTGTTGCTACAGATAAAGCTCAGCATCATGGTGCTCTGCTCTCCTGGTCTTCAGTAGCTCCTGTAAAGCAGCCGTTACAGCTCAAGTTCAGTGAGCAATGAAGTCGGACCAGATATCAGTCAGACCCAGAGCATTTTGTCCACCAAATACTTCTCTACCCATGTGGTCACGGTCAGCCTTTGTTCTGTTGTTGTTGTGTGTAAGGTGCACATTTTACCTTGGGCTGCCTCCCCATTGCACTATACCTGTGCTATAAAACAACTCATCTGTTTGTCTTCTACTGAAAAAAAGAACCCTGTCAGGTTTTCTTTCTGTCTCCCTTTCCTGTCTTTCTGACATCCTCCCCCCTTCAGTTTGAGGGTTTTTCTTGCCTATTTTTTACTCAACCACACAAGAGATTTTGATTCCCCAAATTATTCTTCCCTTTCAACTGTCAAGTGAGCATCCAGGGATCTAAAAAAAAAAAATACACCAACATAACAAACTAGATTTCAAGCAAACTAATTGGTGTCCCGCATGTCAGATTTATGAGAGATGAAAAACATTTATGAAAAAGTACAATTAATAATTATTGATTACCATTGTGAATGTATTATGTTTACCATTGTGAATGCCCTCGTGCTCAGTAATGCCCCATAATAGATACAATATATTATTGTTAGTTTAGTGCACCGACTTAAAGACCATGATGGAACCTTGACTTGAATATGTTAGAAAAAACACATTTAAAAATGTCTCATAAATGGTAATACCTATAAATATCTGTGTCCAACACATGGGTGTCTTTGAAAAGTATGATTACAGTAACTGAACCCTTTAGGGTCAACATGTGCCAGTCAAACTATTCCCCCCCCCTCCACCCAGGAATTTCAGCCAGCAGACCGCTGGTCGTGTCCCCTCTGAAACTAAAAGTCATCGTTGACTTAGTTTGTCACGTCAGTCGTTAGTCATTTGAGTTGTCAGTATCGTCATTCAAGTGAGTCACTAGTCAGGTGAGTCGTAAGTCAGTCCGGTTAACTTCAAACGCAGTCTTTTCCTGACCCTAAGTTGTTTTCTTGCCTGAACCTAAATTGCTGTGAAAATGGAAGATCATTTTTAAAAGACACTATGCGCGTAACAAAGAATATATTGACAGCCATCCCTGGCACGTCCAGAACTGACGCTAGAGGGCTACTTAGAGCGTCATAGTTTCAATTGCGAGGCCACTGACCAAGCCTCTGTATTTGACGAGTCAAGAGTCGGAATGTATTGGTAAAACTTACAATAGCATGTCAATATTCTAATGATGGCCCCAAATCCACAGCTGAAAACTGTCCTCAACACGTATCTCTTCATTTTGCCCACCTCGTCATTTTTCCACATTCTCTCTTCTTTTTATTCAGTCCATAAGACTCCATCTTTCTCTTCCACTGCCAAGTATAGTGGGTTTCACAGTTCATGGGTTCAGGACTGACCTGAATATACAGTGTGTGGCCTAGTTAAGTGGGGATGCAGCCCTAACAGTCTTTTGCATGGTGCCACTTCCAACTGGATTAATCTCGACTGTTCTTTACTGGAGACCCTTAAAGGCAACGGCTGCCAGTGCATGGCACAAAAAGAAACCCGATATTTTATTTTTCATGCGCTTGCTGGGCAACAGCCATATAGCAGTGGGAGGTTTGGATCATTATAATACTACCACAGCAGAGGTTCACATGGGCTTCATCCAAGTCAGTCCCCCTTTAATTCCCGTAATTACTTTCATTTCATGTTTATTTTGTTGTTGTTTTGAGATGTCTAGTATTTCTTACAAGTTGCTGCTGTTTTTCCTTCACTTCAAGACGAGTGGGGAAATAGCTGAGGTTTATTTTTAGCTACAACATCTGCATTTAATTTCAGCAGCTTTCACAGCTGTTCCTTGTAATGTTGGCTTGAAACTGCTGCTCTTTAAAAGAAAAATAGATATACTGGCTCTGTGCGCTAAATTGGCACTGTAACGCAAATTGCGAATGCCGGGTTGATCCAAGGTTGAGTTTCAATCTGTTTTCATTTTTTCAAACACATACTCAAAAAAAGCAGCCACAAACACATATTGACCAAAGTGAACGCACATCTTGGTGTTAATTTGACTCTTCTTTAGAAAAAATGATCTGTTGGGTAAGAAAACATTTTCATAATTTGGCCTGTGTGATTTGTGTTCTCTGCAGATACAGCTGAGCAGCATTTTCATGCCACAGAGTCATAGAAGGCGAAATGCTGCCCAGCTGTGGAGAGATAAAACATCATCATAATTCCTGTGCCAAAAAAAGTGTCGAAACAAACAGTAAATTTGCTGGTATGGATGGACACAGAAGGGAAAGGTGTGTTTACAACTGATCCATCCAAATCTCCCCAGCTAAGGCTGACATTGGAGTAAAACTACAAATCACGGAGATTCGCTTTTGCAGTTTTGATAACATGAGATCACCCTTCCATCCATGTCATAGACTTGACCTTCATAACCAGCTTTTGTTTTGGATGTGTGGTTTTGCATGGGCCATTCTCCCTGCCATGACCAGTGGTGTAATGGTAACTGAAGAAGTGGCCCTATACTGTGAACTCTGCCACGCCCACTCCTTTCTATCTGTGTGCACAGTCACACCAGCCATCTGTGATGTACTCTACTACAGTAGACCTCTTAGTGTTTGCACCGCTGAAGAATCTAGAAAATAAAAAAGGTGTCAAAATAACGTTTTCCCATTTATCAAACTCAAGAGCTGCCACATTTGTGTAACAAAACTCTTTTTTTAGTTTTGACCTGATCTCTGCTCTTTTGTTCCACCTGTAATATGTCTATCCTTTACGAGACGACTTGCCTCTCCAATATTGTCTGTGTTTAAATGCACAAAATACTCCAAATATTCCACAATTTTCCAAATATGACAATATTTCAAATTTGATACGGGTCATGTAAACAGCATATTCTGTTTGGATATTCCGAATGTAGCATTTTCCCATTAAGACATGTGGGATATGTTGATATTATTCGTGTTGTAGGAGCGTTCTGTGGACATGTATACACACAATTTGGAATATATGTCTAAATTGGGGTTTTTTACAAGAGCTTATGCCGGCCTGCTATGCATTGAAAACAAACCAACTAGCCTTCAGTTTGCAGAGATGGATCCCCCAAAAGAAAAGTCAAAATTGGAATATGTTGTGCATGTAAACATAAGCATCATTTCCTTGAGCATTCACCACTAATTGCAACAGCAAATGTGTTTTGAACGAAATATAATGCTGCCCAGATTTCATCAGCATCAAGAGAAAACGTTTCGAATGAATGTATCTGCAATGTGGCAAAATGTAAATCAGAACATAAAATGCAGCTAATGTATGAAGATAGTGCTGTTATTTTGTCAGTCGTAGGTATGCATCCCCTGCTTCAGTTTTACAAAACAATTGATCTGAGTAAAATCCATATCTCATAATTACTATATTTCTTCTCAATATAACGGTGCTGCTTTTGCACAGTGAGTTCAGCCCAGCATCACTGCACAGGCTGCTGATTGGATATTGAACCTATCATGTTTTTGTCATTCAATACACCAACCTTTGGCTCATGCTTCCAAAGACACACACACACACACAAAAAAAACCTAGAGGCCGTACTGTGTCGATAATTTCTTCATTAATGACCCGAGGGGTGAATCAATGAGGTTTTTGGATTAGTGCCGAATAAACATACAATTGCATTTACTTTACATTACACCACTGGCCATTACAAATGTCAGATAACAGCCTGGCGTGTGGATGTGTTACTCACATCCAGGTTGTCATCTATCGTATCCTAAACTCTGCTGCTGATCTGCACCACGATTGATGAAAAAAACTATTTTTGTTGAGACTGAACCTTAAAGCAGAGAAGTTGGACTGTACTGTCTTTGAAACATCTTCCTTTCTGTTGTCATTCCCCATGACCTCCATCTGTGTGGCCTTCCACCCATGCATGCCATGAACCATGTGTCATTTGCCTTGCTACTAACATGCTATGGCTTCTTTTTACTTTGATCCTCCAACTTAGACTTCCCTTTTTAAATCCTAAATTCAGTTGTACTTCTGTATTTCTGACCTTATTTTTCTATCTCTCTCCCTCTTTCTCTCCTGCTTCCCTTTTTTCTCTGTGTCCTCTTCCTGTCTTCATGTGTGATCTTCTTGGACACCTATGGACCATGACATTGCCATACACACAAATTTTTCTCTCTGTTTGTGCTTTTATTATTCTTTTTTTTTTCCTGTCACTTGTGCTATGATTATCACTCAAAAAAACCCCTCTGTTGTGGACATTGAAATACTATATTTGTCATCTGTGGTTGGTCAATAACCTCAGCTACCCTTGGTTGCCGATGTGTTACCTACAGTCTGGCAGCTCTTCTGCTGTCCATGCTGACTGTGCTCTGGCTCTCGTAAACTGATTTTGTTCAAGGAGACAGAGGATAGTCTAAACCTTTGAAATCTTGGGGCCCACAATCCTTTGCTTTCTATGCCTTTTTTGACCCTTGTGCAGTCACACGCAAGATGAAAAAAAAAAAAAATATGAAGAGTCAAGACATTGGTTTCATGACGTTATTACAGGGTGCTCAGTACTTGCATCATTCTCAAATTTTGGGGATTTAGATTCTGTTGATATTTTGTTTTCATCTGTTTTCATGTTGTATATGAATAGATTTGGAAAGGAGAAGTTTTGTCAATGCTACAAGTCGGACTTGGGTGCTCAGTTGGGATACTGTGTAGACAAAGTGTTGCCGCTTTGTTTTAGATACGATTAGTAACACATTCATAATGCCTTAATGTGATCTTGAGAGGGGTGATGAATAGAATAATTACCTTACACTGTTTGATTATGTGTCTACAATGTGCTAACCAGAAATGGCAATTGTAAAGAGACTTTTATTTTGGAATTTATTGCCTATCAAACAGACACATCATTCCACCGTTACGTCAAAAATGACATAAAAGCATGAACACTGCATGAAAGCTGACACAAGGCATGATCCAGTATTCATTGATGTGCTATGCAGCTGCTTTGGAGCTCCCCAGTCAAGCATTATGAATGTGTTAACCAGGTGAAGAGTACACATGCTGTGCCTAATTTCAGTTTTTTTTTTGGATACAACCTTGAAATGTCCTGCTGTACAAAATGAGGAAAGACTTAAAAAAAAGTGGGGGGGAAACAAATATTGGTTATGGGCAGAGTATTCATTTTTCAAGAGTTTATTAATTTTGGACATTATATTATGCTCACTTTCAAATACAGTATTATGTAATCGCCTTGTTAGGAGAGGACAGAAGGTTGTGCAGAAAAACTAATCATGTTTCGTGACAAAGTGTACATACTCTTTTCAAACTGACCCTCCAGAAATACAAGAAATACGCTGGGGGTTTTTTTTGTTTGTTTTTTTGACGGTTCTTGTTCTCTTTTTACCTGAAAGCAGAGAAATGTCTAAAATGTGCAACAGCTGTTAAACACTAAAAATTTCATTTTCAACAATGTGAAATGATTCTATTCTCTGAGACATTTTTGTAAGTACATATCTGTGTATTTCCATGTAACCATTGTAGGGTTGAAATAAATTGTGTTTCTTTTTTCTTTCATGAAATTAATGGCTTTCTGAAGCTTTAGTGACTGAACATACTAAGATGTGTGACGCAGTGCTGTCTTGTACTGACTGTTCAAGGCCTCGATTGTGAAGCTGATTTAAGGAACTTTTTTCATCTGGAGCTTTAACAAAATGACTGTATTCTGCATTCAGTGTTGCATCACACCATTCACGACTGTTACACCCAGATGTTGAAAGATTAGAAGCCTGGCTATAGCCTAGAAGAAGAAGATACAGTATGCATTTTGAACAAAAGAATGAACAAATGGTAAATACCGTATAGAGGCTTTGAAATTATACATAAATATATTATGTATATTACTAGCCAAACATTGGAACAAATCAGATGTGCAGCGGCATCATGAGAGCGATGGCTTGCTGAGCAGATTTTGGTTATAGTTAGCTAACATGATGTAAGCAGGAATTTAACGTATCCAGTCCCACAAAATGTTGTTTGTAAATGTTGGTTGACAAAAACCAAAGGTGACTGTATGTATGAAACAGGAAGCTCATAGCAGTCCCGTGCTTTCTCGACCCCTACAGTACATCTACCCTAATCACCCCTTATTATTGTGTGGCTCAGTGGCTCGCTCGTTCCACCTTCGCTGCTGACGAGACCGGAGTTTTAATTCCAGCCCAGTCGGCAGGAAAAAATGTTGCATTGTACGTTTCGGCAAACAACGGATACCATAAATATTGTTGTCATTCAGAGCAAGTGACGTTGTACAACAAGAGCTGCACAGACCTAGTGACGTAGCATATTAAGCGACTAATTGAAAGTTGCGTGGTATGTTAATGACTTTAACAAGCTATAAAGTCCACTAAGGGTGGGTGGAAGTGGTGGAGGTGGATTGGTCTGGAAACACAGGACTTTGACTCCAGGAGACTGCTGTCCTGTGTGGAAATAAAAGTCAACGTTGACTTTGCGCTAGTTACTTAACGTTAGGCTCGTTGGGTAACGTTGCGAATGAAAGCTTGCTAAGGACAGTTGTTATTCATTGATGTAAGTTACGTTTTTACGGTACAATAAGTTAACATTATTTGAACATAAAACATTATCTTTTCTCCTACGTTAACCAAGTAGTTTTGTCGCCGAAACCTAGCTAATGGTTTCACGACGTTAACCAGGTGGCATTGTGCATTTTTGCTAGTGAGAAACAAGGCTGATATGAAAATCTATGAAGCATACTTTTGGGTTGTAAAATTGTAACATTCAACATATCCATGGTTTGCAGATACGTACAATGCCAAAGTTATTTTTTTCCCAGAGACTGCTTTGCATAATTTACATGGCCACTGTTAGACTTTCCTTTGCCTGTCAAAGATTGACCTGTGTCATCTTGCGGCAACATTCTTGTTATTGAGGTGATCAAGCAATACATTTTAAAAAGCTCTTCTTTAACAATGTTAATCAAGAGCTACAAATCTCAAAAATGACCATCAGAGTTTAGGGGACTCAAAGCCATCTATACAGTTTCCATTTGTTCAAACCTTTGTTCCACACTCTGCTCTAGAAGTCATGAAAGTCCTGCAGAGTCAAGACGATGCAATGCATACATGAAGAGACCAGAATCACCTACAGCCACGATCAACAACACTTCGATGTGAGAGAATTAATAAAGCATTGATACATTTTCAGTAATCAGACACATGTGAATGGTGATTGTTTTGTCTGTCTCGTGTAATAAGAACAACAGAGTCTGCATTATGGTGACCAGTGAGAACAACTTTTACTTCTAAGGCTAAAGTTGACCACAGATGAAAATTTAAATGGTAGAGTGCAGATGGGTTGGTTTCCCATGATCATGAGAGGAGTCATATTAAAAATAAAAGTAAACTCTTGAAGTATCTATTACTTTTTAAAAGAGATAAAACAGACTCTGGAAATAGAAAATCATTCACTATTTTATAAAAATAATATTTTTGATGGCATACGAAAAGCACAGTCCCACAAGGCTCCATTTGAAGCAGCCTGCAGCAAAGAGCACTTAAACTCCAAATAAGCAATTTTTGATTTGTAACCTTTGAAGGGGGCTTTCACGAGGATATAAGGTGAACGTAGCTTGAGAGGCTCTCTGCCTGCTTAGGATGAAGAAACACCATAAAACTTGCTTCACCTTTGTACGCCTGAAGGTAAAATAACATTGACATGTGGTAAAGCCTGGATTCCCCAAACAGCAATAAGCACACAGGTGAAGAATTATATTGGCAAAGAGACAAATATACCTTTTATATATATATATAGTTTAGCCTTTTGGTATTTTCCTTTGGGTGGTTGTCATCTCTGAAAAATCCACCTCCGGCCTTCTTTCTATCGGCTGCGATCTAAAATGAGACTTGTATTCCTTCGATTTATTATCCCAGGCACTGCTGTTTAATCTCAACTAAATTCTGTCACAAGGATAATAAGAGTTTACGACACCCTTGAGGTGTTCTTTGTCACTTGTTAGTCCCTCCTGTTGTTCATCAGGGCCTACTGAGTAATGATAGTGCTGATCAGTGCTGAGTGATTTTCATTTCTGCTAATCAGGATCTCCATCTAAGTCTGTGCATCAGACTTACTTGCATTGCATATCAACAGAATATTTCTCCTCCCTCCCTGAAGCAAATGGTGCAGTCGCCCACTGCATACAGACTACAGCGACTCCAAGAGAAGAGACGTCCCTCTCTTTGCATAGCCTGAACAATTCCCTCAGTTTGTTAGCTTGATGTGCTTAATGAGGTGCTTCCACCATTGTTTCTCGTGTCTTTTATCCTCTTGTCATTTTCCTCAACTTCACATCAAGAAAGACTACATGTTGTTGTTTTTTGGGATTCAGATGGACATTTCATATTCTTATTCTGACTGAAGCATTTCGTATACAGCAAAAACATAAAACAGCCTACGGTAATCGTCTCTTTAACAATATTGTCACTCTGTATTAAAATGGATATATTATAGAGTCCCAAAGCTTCCTCCCTTCATCCTCTACTGCATAGAAATTAATTGTTTTTTTTCCAATCCAATATACACATCAGTTTGAAATCTTCATTTTAAATGCCATGAATCCCATCCAGCCAGGCACACTGCCTCCTGCATATGAGGGAAGAGAGATCTTAATCAGTCAGGGAGGGAGCTGTGCCACACTGTCGCACAGCTCCGACGGAGGATACAAACATGGGAGTCATTGTAGAAACTCGAGCAAAATAAGGTCAATGCAATACACATCTATAGTCTGTATTTGCCTGCTCTGTCTAAACTTTATCAAAGCTGCACTAAAAATATAAGTATTTTTCATTGAGTGAAATAGTCAAATTCAAGTCATGATTTTTGTCAACACCACGTTGAGCTGAAACTATTCAGTAGTTGAATATGCCTTCCCTACTTAAGAGGCTTCATCAGGGACTCCTGGCGAGTCCCAGATATTTACATCAGTCCGGGTTGCTCACACCATGAGAGCCCTTTAAGATCATCTGGCAGTCATGTGACCGTCTTCAAGGCTTTAGAGTATGTAACAATTCTGAAAGACACATTTATTCCTCGCAGATTTTCAGTATGTACTGTTTTCAAACAGGAAAAGTGATAAAATGAAGTACACTCAAAGAAGTTACTATGCATATTAAAACATGCATGATTTCATGAGTGTGCTGTTGATGCACACTCCTGTATTTTCCATAATGCAATGCAGAAAAGAAATAGAGAGGCTACGATTAAAACAGTATGCCGGTGGGGATGAGGCAGCTCAAGAGTGATTCACAGTGTAATTATTTCTGTCAGCGCAAGTATCCCACCATTTCATGTTTTCAAAACTACAATGATTTCTAGTATAATAACCTCAAAGACATAATGATGTGACTACATGGCCTGTTTTACACCTCGGTCAAACCATCTTCTCCTCTCTGTCTACTCTACGAGCATATTGCTCCTCAAATTGGTGTTTCGTCTTCTGCAATGTTGTTCCTCCACAACATAATGTGCTATGCGTTTGGGAGTTTTTTGTCTCTGCCACTTCAGTGCACAGAGAATTGATCTATTGATGTTTCAGTATGTGGTCCATCTAGTGAAATGAGTTTTGCCTCACTGCTGCCGTTTAAACAAAATGACATTGTCACACAACTAAATCACACTCTCAATTCAAGGGAAACATGTTTTTTTTTTCTCAGGTCAAGGTCCAAGTTTTAAAACACGAATAAATGTTGTAAATAGAAATATGACACAACTTAAAATAGAATCGTTATTTAGGCAACAATATACATTGTTGAGTTTGGTAAAAAAAACATCGTCAATTTTATTTAAAGTGACTATGAAACTGAAACAACACAAAAACTAAAAAAGTACTTGGTTCAGACATGACATGAACAGCAGTATCCTGGGTGGAAGTACTGTGTTTTTAGACCAATCCACTACTCGGATATCATTCCTATATGGACTTCTGTGAACTCATTTAAAGTGAGAACAATGTTGTGACTCGACAAAAGCAAACGAAATCCACGCCAACAAAAACTTTTCTTAAAACATAATTAACGATGCAGTTTTGTTGTATGAGACTGTCATGTTTAGGAGGGAGGGCTGCTTTAACTGAACTTCCACCGTCTGATGAATACTGTCATTTAGATTTGACCTTGTTGTTTTTAGCTGGAGCAATCTATCATCCATAAATATCCTGGAAGTTATTTTAGAACCGTTTCCCCTAAATTCAGCCTGACATATTCAGTGTCTTTAGTAACTGATGGATTTTAAGATAATTCAATTACAAAGCATGTTTTACAACATGACTTTTTAAAGAGAGAGCCATCACACAGTTAGGCCGGAGTTTGAGAAATGAAATATAAAAGTCCTCATGCATACAGTACTAAGCTTTCCAATCAGTACCAACTATTTAAATGCATCTTCTGCTGCTATAATGATGTGTAAATTGACTGCCAATATAAAGGTTGTTCATCAATGTACTGGCACAAGAGTCTGACAGATTGTCTATGCTGGACAGTGACCAGTTATTGATTTGTCAGGAATGTGTGGT